TAAAATTTATTATCGTTTTAATTCATTAATTAAAAAAAAATTGCATTCTTACTTTAATAACACACTGTCCCGCTTATAATTTATTAATTGATGAATGATCAAATACCTATATGTATAGAAAACATTAAAAAAAAAAAAAAAAATAGACCTCTTACCAAACATCACTTTCAAGTTATCATAGCCTTGTATTGGAGTCAGGGGAATGGGGCATGTGAAGTGATATATATGGGGCCAAATCATAGAATCAGACCCTTCATATATTACGCATCACAGGCAATCATTGTATAAAAAGTGCTTGATAAAAACAGTGATACTAATTAGTATGTATTTACATGTATACATTTGTCACGGGCATATGAATTTTCGGTACGACCAAGAAACTCATACATCACTAAGAAAACATGTTAATTTTCTATTATTAAGAAAAAACTACTTTTTCCTCCTATTGATCTAGGAGAAATAATCTCACATCTTGCATAGATAATGAGTAATACATTTTGCAGAAAAATGAATTGATTAGCTGAAATGAATCGTTGTGAGTTTCTAAAATCGAGATACATCGTGTATGCTTTTAACTACCTGCCGACTAACAAAAAGTTAACAAAAACTATGAATTAAACACCTCCATGTTGCAAGTTAGAGAGTGTATATAGATTGAATCTAGAAATAATTTGGAATGTAGAATCAAGAAAAACCTTGAATGAATCAATCTCAAATAGTTAGTTCCCAATAACAATAACATCGTCTACTTAGACTAAGAAGGTTGTAAAAGAGGCACCACCCCTCTTAATAAAGAGAGAATGATTGGATTGGGAGTGCTTGAAGCCAAAATTAACAAGAGAATGGAATAGCTTGGTAAACCATTGCCTACTCTATTGTTTTAAGACATATAGGGACTTTGTTAGGCGACAAAATTGATTAAGTTTGGAAGACATAAACACTAGATCAGGGAAATTCCATATAAACTTCCTCATCATTCAAAGTAATCAACACCCTCTTGTTGGGTATAGCCCTTAGCTACAAGACATGTTTTGTATCGTTCAACCATTAGCCTTATATTTGATTTTATAAATCCAATTAACGAGATCCAATGTGAGTCTTACCAGGAGGTAAGTCAGTGAGATACCAAGTGTGATTAGTCTCAAGGGCTACAAGTTCATCCTTTATAACAAGAATTCAGGGATTTGATGGCTTTTGTATAAGTTTTGCGTTGTATGTTGGTAGAGGCTGCTTTGGTGTATTTTAAGTGGGAAGAGGAAGAGTGATGATAAGAAAGGGTAGGAGAAAGGAGATATACTTGAATGTATAAGGATGATTGAGAACTTAATGAGTGAGAAAGGTTGCAATGTAAATTGTGCTAGTAGTTAGAGGAATTTCAAATTCAAGTTGATCTTAGATGAACAAGAGGTTTTACAGGTAGCAACAAATATTTATTCAAGGGGATCAAAAAAATCAATTAAATTGAGTGAGAAAATATGTATGGGTAAAGGATAGGTAGGAAATCAAAAAATGGAGGGGTGGAAGTGAAATCCATTGGCTAAGAAATAGAGGTATTGTGGTAAGAAAGTATGTGTTTATGAAATATGACATTGTGGGAGATAAAAGTCTCTCTGATGAAAGGTCAAAAATAATGAACCTTTTGATGCCAAGTTTATAATCAAGGAAAAGATAATTGTAGAATCTAGGATCCAACTTGGATATCTTTTGTGGTCAAAGGTGAACATGAAACAAAGGGAAACATAATCCTTAAGGTTAAGAAGTGTGGGTGGTGAGTGATGAAGAAGTTTAAAAGGGGGTTTATTTTGGAGGGTGGATGGAGGTAACTGATTGATAAGATGTAGAACACGATTGATAGCATGACGCCAAAAAGGTTTAGGCAGGTTAGCATGAAAAAGGAGATTATGGATTACATTCAGTAGATGTTTATGTTTCCTTTCTACGGTAAAATTTTGTTAAGGAATGTCTACAAATAAAGGTTTGGTGTATAATCCCAAATTGTGCATATACTAATTGAATTCATTATCATTTGGATATCTTTTGGTTTTCGAACTTACAAAAAAAAATTTCTATGATTTCCATATTTGTAAAGTTTAAAATTATTATTTTTAGTTCTTAATATTTATTTTAAAATAAATAAATAATATTCATTTTAAGGATTTAAAAAAAATTAAAGCTACAGTATATTAATATGATACCAAATATATTTAGTTTTTTTTTATAATCCAAATAATTGAAAATAAAGAAAGTACAAGAGGTACTCCAACCCATTACAAAATATCACATGTAAACTAAAAATACCGTTCCCCAACTAGGAACTTAAGCTAGACCATCACATCCAGCCCACAACATTGAAATAAAAATTGTAGAATCAGATTTCTCTAATAGACTCGTTTACCACCTGAATACATTTACCTAGGTGAGGCAAGTTGCTGGATTCATGGATCAAGAAGCAAAGTCGTACCTAAAATTTTTATGTTTTGTCCTTAACTAGTTTCAGGTTCTAATTTTAACCAAATCTACCATCTTCATTGCAGATATTTAACCAAATCTTTATAGTTTTTATTAGAAGCGATTACTTGACCATGTAAAAAACACAAAAGTAGTTAATAAGGATCACAAAATATTAGGAACTAAAAAATAATAATTTTAATTTTAGAAAAAAGAAAAAAAATATAGGGACTAAAATTAAAAGTAACTCATTTTACAGAGACTAAAATATATTTAAGTCTATATTTTAATTTTAAATTATGTATTTCTTCATATAGAACAAAAAAAAGGTAATTTTGGACAACATGAGACTTGAAGCCAAGTTAATGTGATTATTTAACACTAAACCAACATGCTCTTATAAAATTGACTTAAATAATTTGTATAAAGTATTTTTAATTTAAAATTGAATATTAATTTATACAATTCAAATAATTTATAATTTAATTATTTTATCAATGTTATAGACTACAATTTTTTTTTTGGACTTCTTTAAGACATAAGAATCTTCTTTTTATTTTTTATTTTTTTGCTTATGCTCCTAATGATATTTTTTTGAAAATCATTATTGTATTACATCATTTCTAGTAAAAAAAATATTCATAAAATTACTATTTTGTGTTTATTTATTAAAATTTTATTTTATATAAAATAACTTAAAACAAGGAGTATTTTGTATAACTAATGCTGAGACACTCATAGTTAATTAAATGGCCCAGTAGTAACATTATATAGAAATTTTAGTTTAACAATTAGGCAGATGATAAACACACATTCACCCTCGTATAAGCACACCCCCTTTTTTAAAAATATATATAAAATGTCTAAATTACCCTTAAAAAAAATAATATTCCTAAATTTACACCCCCTTTCCCGCACCCCCGGTACCCGCACCCCCCTTCCCCGCACCCCACCTAACCCAAACCCATTTCAATTCTCGCACCCCCTTTTTTTTTTAATCGTTGTTATATACGTGGTTTCTGATCTGGGATTGATTCAATTTGGGGGTTTCTGGGTTTGTGATTGAAATGGTCTATTTCCATAGCTCAATCTCTCTCTGCAACTCCTCCGTTGACCAACCCATGGCGAATTCCCTCGATTTCGGCTCGAAATCGAGGCACCGGAAAACCCCCAATTCCCTCCAGGCTCCGCCGTGCCGGCGATCCCGATCAGTGGTGGCCGACGTTGTGATTTTCGTGGCAGTCATCACGGCGTTCGGATTCCTATTGTTCCCCTACGCCCAATTTGTGGCCAGTGAGAGTGTCAAAATTGGTGTTGTGGTTGTGAATTTGATCAAAGAAGAGGTTTCTGTGAATTTGGGGTGCGGGGAAGGGGGTGCGGGGTACTGGAGGTGCGGGGAAGGAGGTGTAAATTTAGGAATTTTATTTTTTTAAAGGTAATTTAGACATTTTATATATATTTTTTAAAAAAAGGGGTGTACTTATACGAGGGTGGAGGTGTGTTTATCATCTGCCTAACAATTATTGTGCTTCGTGTTCCTGGGCTACCGTGCTTCTGTTAGGTACTAACACTTTATCTGTCGGAGTATGAGGAGTCATATGAATCTCACTTTCCCCTTGATGAAATTAATTATTGGATCTAGGGTATTCCTTGATATATCCTCTTAAGGTAATCTTATCATATATTAGTAGTAAGTAGTAACTCAACCTTACCGTGAATCCACATTAACAAAACTACTTCCCTCTTAAAGCCCAATAATCACGGTTTGATATTCCATGACCATAAGAGAATAATGTTAAAATTGAAAGGAAACTTAGTCATTGAGAATACTATTGACATAATTAGAAGGGGATCTTCTGTGCAGGTGGGAGGGAGATTGGAAAGTGTATTGAGGAAATTTTGGGAACCATAACACATTACTCTGAATTTCTTTCAACTTTCCCCTCACTAAATGCATTAATAAAATAAAACCTTCAATAGTTGAAGCTATGAATACCTAAAGTGGAGCTTATCCTTAGTGAAGTTCATCGGTTCAGAAGCAAATGATACACGGCAACAGTTCATGCATAATTCCCACCAAAATGCAGAGGCTCGTGCATTAACATGTTACCACCTGCGACTTGCTTGAATAACCCTCTTTGAAAACCATTCTAAGAAATAAACATAGAAAGAAAAAATAAAATAAACTTCTTAATAAATCAGAAAATAAAATTAACTTTATATAAACTAATTTATAAAATCCCTTAACTATTAATTTTTTCAAAATTTTATTTTTATTTCATTAATAAGCTAGAAATCTTGTATTTTTATCATATAGAACTCGGCTAAAATCATAAATAAGCTAGAAATCTTGTATTTTTATCATAGCGCTCGGCTAAAACCAACCTTGCGTCCTTGCCCGACAAATAAACTTTATTTCATAAAATCATTTAATTATCAAAATTCAAAGAATTTGTTTTGTACATCAATAAACATTGCTGCTACAATTTATCTAATCAAGCATGAATCACTGGTTTCTTTTTTAATCTTATTTATTGCCATGATTTCCGCCATTTTCAGAAGGAAATGTATTTTTCTGAATAGATATTTGAATCAAACAAAAATGTCTTCAGTAAGCCGCAAAAGGCCACATATAAATACAGACGACTTGGTACCATGATCCTGTATCTTCCTGAATAGATATTTTTCATGCATTAATTTTGTTCACAATGATTTCTCAGGAATCCATTAATTTTGCTCACATTAGCTGTGACTTCATGGACAGTAACATTATTTCTTTAGGTGGGTCCAGCTAGTATCAACAAGGCAAGTATTACAATTATAGGATGTCAAAAAAAGCTGGCTTTTATGATGTACCAAGAGAACATTATTGAAGTTTGAATCATGCAGATCCCCTTTCTTCCTCCCACCTTCCATATTATTGAGTCTTGAATATCAGTAGTTTTTCCATCTGTGGAGAAAATCAAAGGCTGTACAACAAAATGATTTCACACAGATTAGTAGAAAATACGAATTTCAACAAGACTGAGACATGAAGGATAAATGTTCAATATTCCAATGTAGCCAGCACAGAAATTTTAGGAGTAAAATTTACTACTTTTGGATAGATGAGCTTTGGTGTGATCATACAAAACTATAAAGTTATACAGTTAGGAAAGCGATAATGCGTCAAAGACGCTAGCAATTAACTCACAGAAGCATATATCTATATACCAAATAAGTTGACAAAACAAAAATGAGTGTGACTGAAACCTAGGACAATCCTTTAATCATATTCCAGAGAGAAAAATAGTTCATATTAATGTTACTTCTGATTCTAATTGATGGGGTAATTGTGGAGTCGCTATCAGATGCCATGCATGTTTCAAGGTGAGTACAAGGCTGCCTATATGTGAGAGAGAGATTACCTAGGACATTTTGAGCTTCAAAGTAGGAGTAGTGATAGCATTTCAGAGAGTGAGAACAAAAGGAGGGGCATCCCTTCTTGGACCAGCAACAGAACGATAAACATAAACTTTTCGAGCCTGATGAGTCTCATATCTTTCTTCCTTTATGACTTCCACATTCAACCTAGGCATTTCTTTGGCCAACAGTCTTACACCATTCATCGTCACTTTGCAGTCTGACATCCACAGTGACCTCATCGACTCATACTTCCTGGAACCTGACAGAAGAGCTACATTGCCAAACGGACAGTCCCTTACCTCAAGTTTCCTCAGCTTTGGACAGCCGTCCAGCACACACCGCATGCCCCAATCACTTTTTCCAGCAAAAGCCACGGATAGAGTTTCCAAATTTTTTGCATATTTGCCTATGTACTCAAAAGTTAGGTCAGTCAGATAACCTGATACTGCAAGCCTCTGGAGTTTAGTGCAAGTCTTAACAACAGCTCCAAAGGCCTCATCCATAGGGTCCTGTGTCAAGTAATCTGGCTGACCCGGATGCATGATGCACAGCCGGAAATGAGTAAAGTCAGGACAGTTTTGCACAACAGTAGCAACAGCAGCATTGGTCATTTGACGACAAAAGTAGAGAACATAGTGAAGTCTCGGGCATCCTTGAGAAACTGCAATAAACCCTGATTCAGTAACCCCATGAACAATGCCCTCATCAAAGGGGTCTGCAGGAAAAACACGCAGTTCCTCAAGCAATGGACAGTGTGATCCAACAGCTTCTAGCCCCTTGTCTTCCACTGAATCCACAACCTGTATCAGTTATTTAATGTGTAAGGTCCATGTTCCAATACATTTTCATTAGCAGGCACAGGAAGCTTGATAAAAATCTGCCACCCCATGCACCATCAACTTTGATGATAACAACCATGACAAATTCAACAAACAGATTGTATAATCTTATGGTTGTGCTTATGTGTGACAGAGAAAAAAAGATAGAAAAGGACAAAATCAAATTTTAGGGGGGCAAAAACAGGATAAAATATCTGACAAATATCTATTGGAAAGTTAGAACAATCAATGACAATTTCTTTTAAGAAGCTATATATTAAATGGTTCATAAAATATTACTATATATAAAAAACAAATATCTAATTCATTGAAACTAATAAAAGTAGTTAAATTGGTTAGTTTTAATTAATAATGTCATAATTTGAAATATTAGTGCAAAAATTCCCATAGAATTAATTAGTGTAATTGGTGGATATATTTAATGAAACAGCTCATAAATCAAGGGATTATTTTTAAACCATGAATATAACTTTTATTGTTAGTATCCCAATAAATGCATTTCGTGGGAAATGAGTGGATGACTCAATAATAAACTCATAATAAATTAGGAGTATAAAAGAAAATTAGCAATTAATACATTTAAAAGTAGACCTATGTTCTTATAATTAGGACCAAAATTTGTTTCTTATATACAGCAGGACTAGAGGTAGTATCATAAAGTTAGGGAAAGAAAATGGACGGTCTTTTCAAGTATTTATCCGTCTAGATTTTGTTTACAGCTGGCAGAGACAAACCTTTAAGTCTAGGATTTCTAGCTAATGCATAAATTAAAACTTAAGACAAAAGCATGATATATGGGGTTGTGTTTGTGGAAACTTCAATATTAATGAAACCATGCAATGAAGAACAGAATAAAAAATTCGTACCCATAGGCGCTGAAGCTTAGGACAGTGAACAAGAAGCTTAGCAAGATCATCACTGTCGAGAGGAGCATAACTAAAATTCAAGAAAGTGAGATTTGTGCAAGCAGAGTACAGAACTGGGAGATATTGTGCTGTAGCTACCCATAACCCTGAAAGGGTGTGAAGATTTCTACAATTTTTGAATGCACTTCCAAGCTCTGAGCACTGCTGTGGTGTCAGCTCTTGTGAAAATGAGCCAGTACCAAGCTCACCTAACTGAGGAGCATGAACAAGAAGCCTTTGTAACTGTTTCAGTGTTACACTTTTATTTACCTTCAAAGTCTTTAATGATTTGCACCTACTGACAAGTTTCTCAAGTGCATCAAAATTTACTTCGTAGTGCAGATTGGCAAAGTTCAATACTTCCAATGATGTGAAGCTTTCTGGGAAACAACTCAACCAATTGCCACTCTTATCCTCGATACCATTCTCTTGTATGTCAAGTTCAGTTAAATTCCTGCATCCAAGTAGAATGCAGAAAATCATGTATTTATCAAAGGAAAGATTAAACAAAGAATGCCATCATAATGAAAATAATATCTATTTCCAGTAACTCAATATGTTGGTACCATAAGTTGAGATTTTGAAATCCATAAGATTATTCAGCTACCAAAAAGGTAAGGTTTTAATTAATGTAATCAACAATTTTGCACACTGTTTATGCTTTCAGTCATAAATGTGTTCTACTTACGCAAGATCCCTTTGCTACTGAATATATTTATGGTCAAACAATTAAACAGAGAATTTGAAGACTGCTCTATTACATCATAATATAAGTACTCAAGTTCTACATATTTCAATGAATTCCAATAAACCAATCTATGATTTAATGGTAAATTCTCATTCTTGAACATGCATAATAGAATTGCTCACAGTGAAATAGTCATATCAACTTTTCTCCAGCTAAGGAATAAATAGCATCTCAGGCATACAATCACAACCAATCTTAGCTAAAGTCCATTCTCATTCTGGGCAGCACAAGTAAACCTTCTAGAGCAACAAAAGTTCATCGATTCCCTGTGTCTCTTGGCTGCTTTTTTTTTGGTATAAATAAGGAATATTACCATATTCCCACTCAATTGATGCTCAAATGTTAATTTCGTCATACAGAAAAGAAGTGGCTCTCATAAAAAAACTGTTCTGTAGTGGGATTCCATTTCCACTGGCAACAAAATTCACAAATGTCTCACCACTAAGATATTGTAACAAAGCACAGCACATGAAAATGGCAAACAAGAAGGCACTCAAGCAAATAAATAAATAAATCTAAAATAACAACAAATCAATTAAAGGGTAGATAAAACTTGAAGGCCAAAACTGGCAGTAAATAGCCTCAGCAGAATGACCTATTATTAGAATTGGTTAAAAGAGGCAATTTAAACTGGAGAATCAAATTAAATTTAAAACTGTTACTAAGTAAACGCATCAATTAACCGTATTATATTTACATCATTCAAAAGTTAAAATCAAAGATCTCATATCAAAACAGTATCATCACCAGATTGATAGAAAATGACAAGAAACGCAAACCCATCAACAGAAAACGTGCAAACTCCACCAGTGGTTCATTACAAGAACCACTCTCTCTAGCAGTCCAATCAAACCACGTATATCACAAGCAAGACATTAACAATAGCCAAACAAAAAGTAAAATTAAAACCCTTAAAGAATCACAAATTCATTGTAATTTATGGACTAAACACGTGAGTTTAAAGACAAATGATTCTTACTTGCAATTAGCAGCAATTTTAGCCAGCCCATCAGTGCTGAATCCATCACAACTGAGAAGAGAAAGAGCTTTGAAATTGGGGAATTTGAGAGCCAGAAACTCCAAGCTCTCATCAGTAACAGTCATCCTCTTAAGCCTCAACTCCTCAAGCCAAGGGTACTTCACAGCAAACACCACCAGCCATGAATGAATATCAGCACCCCAATTGGCAGGAACCAAGTTGAAGTCAGCGAAACGAGGCTTCCCTTTCAGCGTAACACTTCTAATGTTTGGAAACCTGCGAGTTAAGATCTCAGGAGACACGGAATAGCAGTTACCTATGAACACACTCCTCCTTGACCATCTCTCAGCGTTGTACCATTCCTTGCAAACCAAAGAAACCGTGCTTTTGTCTTTCCGAGACTTTAACATCCCAAGAACCAGCTCCAACACTTCATCAGGAAAAGTGGAGTTTGATTTTGATTTTTCATTCTTTCTCTTACACTCCATGTTGAATTAAAAACAAAACAAAAAAAAAAAAGACAAACTTTCAAGCACCCCTTATGGATCAAGGATGAGATTTGAGAGCAACCACCTTGTTAAATTATGGCAAAGTGACCAAAAAAGGAAGTCGCAAACAAAGTGAAATTAGGGTACAGGTACAAGGAAAAAGTTTGCTGAGAAAAGCAAATTGGGAATGACAAAAAACTATTCCCCAAAAACAAATGTAAAGCGGTTAAAGAAAATAAAGCAATTTGTGAACTTTTTCAAGGCTGAAAACCTGCTGCTACTTTCCCTTCACTCTTTGACTATAAAGGTACATGCTTTCACTCATGTTTTTTTCTTTCAACACAGTACAAACTCAGAAATTAAGAGGTTTCGGAGCAGAAATAAAAACTTGAGGAGCCAAAAATAGATGTTGGAATCTGAGATCCGTTAAGAGGTGGAAGAAGATCCAGAAGCTATATATTTATATAGATATATATGAGAGAAAGAAAAGTGAGGACAGAGAAGATAAAAGATTATTAGGGTCACTGAAAATTGGCATCTTTTTCCTGAACCAACACTCTCAAATCACTTTTAAGTTATGATGATAAATGAGGCAAAACGAACACACAGGCACTGATCACCCAAGGCGTATTATAGCAAAAGTTGAAGCTGAGAAAAGGACAGAAGAAATAAATAACATTCCTTTTCGGCTCTCCAAATTTTAAGTTTAGTATTAATAAGGTGAAACGAGAGCAGGCTTCATCTATGTTTAAGAAAAAGTTTTACATTTATTAAGAAAATATATCTGTTTAAATAAATTTCGGTATATTTTGGAGAATAAATACATTAATAATAATTAGTTATAAGATAACAACTGAAATTACAATTAATTTTAAGTTTTATTGTATATGCATTTGAGTGCATTTTATTTGATATCTAAAGTGCGATTGTTCACCTCATAGAAATGAATTTTTTAATCAATGTCATTTTAATTACTCTTAAAAGTGTCTTGGAAGTACATTCACATCACATTAATGTTGTTGTCATAAAAATTGCAAGTGCGTGCTTGCACAACACATTATTCTAGTTCATAATATATTTTTTTTAAGTGCTTTTACTATTAATATTTTTTAAAGTGCTTTTACTATTAAGTATTTGAGTAAGTATCTTATGGATGATGCAGCAAATTTTTTAAAAATTATAATATTTTATTAAATAATTTATTTTATAATAATTTTTAATAAATATTTAATAATTTTAAATTTTGTTTTATTTAAGTTTGAAACTTACAAATACATAAATATACATAAATATTCTTTGAATAATAGTAAATAAAAAAATGATAATTTTATTAAAGATATTGGCAACATGCGATGACATCATTTTCTGACTTTCTTTTTTAATATATCAATCTTTTTTTTCTAAATAACCTCATTCCCATTTTATTTATCAAAATGACCCATTTAGTATTTAAGGTGAGAAATCGATTGGGGGAACCGATTTCTCACCTTCAATTTTGTTAACATATTATGAATTGCAGTGAGAAATCGGTTAACGGAAAACCGATTTCTCAACTGCCTTTTTTTTTTTTTTTTTTTTGGTTTTTGGTTTTTTTTTCGTTTTTTGTTTTTGTTTTTTATTTTTTGTTTTTGTTTGTTTTTTTTTCGTTTTTGTTTTTGTTTTTTCTTTCGTTTTTGTATTTTGTTTTTTTTTTGTTTTTCGTTTTTGTTTGTTTATTTTTTTTTCGTTTTTGTTTTATTTTTTTTTTCATTTTTGTATTTTGTTTTTTATTTCATTTTTGTTTTTTTTTTGTTTTTTATTTCATTTTTGGTTCATGTTTTTTGAGTGCTCTTGAGGTTTTTGTTTCTAACTTTTCTAAGTGAATCCGTGTTGTATCTTCCTTTATACATGTCTAAATTTGTGTTTGCTGCAAGGATCTAGTTCTAATAAATTTTTTTGATGGATCCTATATGTCATATGTGAATTAAATTGATTCATATTAGTGCTTGTTCCTTTGAATCCGTGAATCAATTGTTTGTGCTTTAGGTACTCTTGTTCTTGTGCGTTTTTAATTTTTGCTTGAGTTTTTCCATTCTATAACATGTGTCCGTGATTGGACAACATTCATATTGCATAGATTTTGTTTTTGAATCACTTGTTTTGTCCTAGAAAGTCATGTGTAGTCCTTTGTATGTTGAAACTTCCTAGACTAGCTTGTTCGACCTAATTTTTGTTTAGTGTTTTTGTGTCCGAAATTTTTGTGTATTTTCTTATTAAATTTGTACCTTACTATATGTGCTTTTGTTTTACATGATTGAGTTCCTAATTTGCTATTAGTTCTAGCAAATTTCCTAGAGTTAGGTTTCTATTATGTCTTAATAAAAGTTTTGTCAAGAAAAGTTCATAAACACTTTCCTATTAGGTTTCTTTGAGTCTTGTTGTGTGGCTGAAACCTATTGCAATTTTTTGAGCCTTAAAACAGAGACAAAACAGAGGTGTGAGTGTCCTAAATGCATGAGAAAAACAAAAGAATGAGTGCTTAAAA